ATCAAGACTCTATCAGCTGGGCAGGGCACTATGAAGAATACCTGAGCCCCTTCCGCAGTCACCAGTACTGGACGTCCTAGCTTGACGTTTCCTGGAATGCACATTAATTATGGTGGCAAAGAGCTTTACTTTCCCTTTTCCCAACCATTACCTTATTCCCTCCTTAGCATGCTTCTTCCTCCATTGTTCTTTTGGTGTGTCGGTTTAGTGTTTTGTGATTTTAGGGTTCTCCCCCCTTATATCCTTCCTCTCCTCCTTGCTTTTATCTTAGTATGGTTGCACTGTTATTTAAAAGAGCCTACTTAAAATTTCACTCTTGGTCAATATGCAGTATGAAGTAACCTGGGTTGCTGTGATGCTGAACCTTGTGCCACTGGGGTATCGAATACCAGAATGGTTCCCCAATGTGGACAGTGCTTGGTGGAGCTCCCAGTTGTAAAACAGGTTTGGAAGCAGAAGTGCCATCCACTTTCTAAACCACATGCCTCTGGAAACTCTTTGAACTTGGAGAAACGATGACAGTTACGGAAAGGCATTAGGTCTTTTGTTCATACAGTCGCTATGACTCGCACTCAACTCAACGGCGATCAACAACAACAACAGTTAATGTTTCAGGGAGCTGTGGTGGCCTAGTGGTGAGATACTGCACTGCAATCCCAAAGGCACATGGTTCAACTCACCAGCTGCTCCTTGGGAGAAGGATAGGCAATCTCTTCCTGTGCGATTAGCTGCCTCTGAAAACCCTCTGGAGGATCAGCTGTGGGCTGGTTCTGACTCAACGGTACTTAATAACAATTAAAATGTTATGACATCACATTTTTTAACTAGCAATCACATTATTCTCCATTATCTACTGACTCTTGGTATCATTATTATTTACTTGCCTACAATATTGTTTGGATCATTCACTTTTTACAAAACTATACCTACTTCAGTGGTTGATTATGTCAATAAACACTTAGTTGATATTCTCAACATTCTCTCCTAACAGGTGCTTCAATTAGGAGATCTTGTGCCTCATATCATATGTCAGCACCTGGTCCCAATGTCATCATTCTCAACAAAACTTGTAAACCACAGAGAGTTAGAGAATTGCTTAATTTTTCAATGTCTCTTCTATAAACCACTTTTAACAAAGTACACATTTACTGCTTTTCTATTGTATGCTACTCATGAAAAATACCTGAGTTTTTATTCTCTGACACGATTCTGTTTCAGACAGCTTCCAGCTTTTGCACATTTGAAGGCAAAAAAATTTTCCTATAGAGTTGCTATAACTTCCTAATTATATTGACTTTCTTCTTTTAACCATTAGCAGAGACATTTTCTAAAGGGAAGTACTCTAAATAAGATTCAGCAGATCATTAAAATAGTATTGTCCCCAACGCATGTAAATGGCAGCCAAGGACAAGGAGTGCGAACCTTCAGGTTACCTCTCCTGGGTCCTTGGCAATGATTGTGTTTCAGAGTTACTTCCACAATACTGATCATTAAAAGGCTTCAGACGAGCAAAGAGTCTAGCCGACCCTACGTTGTTATTGTTGCCACGGTCCCTTAAGTCTATTTCAACTCATAATACCACAAAGTGATCAAGTAAAATGTCACAATATAGTTTTCTAGGTTGTAAACATTGGGGGCTGGGGAAGGGATCAGGCCTTTTCTCTCTTAGAGCCAATGGTCGGTGGATTCAAACAGCTGACTCTCTGGTTAGCAGCCACATCTTTAAGCCTCTCCTCAAGCAAGCAGCGCACCTGACCACTTCCGATACGCTCTCTCACCATCCGCTGGGCGCCCTTCCTGAACTGCCTGCCCTGAGTGTGTGCCGCTCCCCCTCTTCCTCCTCTCTTGTCCTCCCCTCCCCCCGCTTTCTTTCCTCTTTTTTCTCTCCTATGATACTCCTCAATCTGTGCCTTATATGTTTGATCTCAAATTACTTTAAAAATATATATTACATTATAAATAAGTGTATATTATAAATAAATATATATATATTATAAATAAATATACCTATATTAGTCCAAAGAAAAATATTTCATCTTGGAAAGTTCACTTATTTTTATTTAAAATAGGTCTTTATAGAATTAAACTTTGCATTTTGTTATTATTTTGTATGTACCAAGTTCATATATATAATTTTTTTAACAGAAATGTTAATAAACATTTACAGACTTTGAATTTCCGTTCATTATATATTGCTCTTTACGCTGGATCTTTCCATTTCCTTAACCCACCCATCCCTCCACCCAGCAAACTGTGTGACCCTTTGATTACCCCCCACCTATCCTCACCCCATTGCTCCTGTCCTTTCCCCCCTTTGATCCTCATACACAAATTAAAACCACAATGAGGCAGCATCTCACTCCAGCAGCAGTAGCAAAGTTTAACAGGACAGCAAGTAATAAACGCTGGAGAAGATGTGGCCAGATAGGGACTCTTAAACACTCTTGCTGGGATTGTAAAAGGGTACAACCACTCTGGAAGGCAGTGTGGCATTCTCTTCAGAAAGCTGACCACAGAAATTCCTTATGACCCAGCTACTCCATTGCTTGGAACGTACCCCAAGAAAAATGAGAACTGAGGCATAAACAGATAATCATACAGCAAGGCTCAGGAATATTTTTTGAAGAAATACACAAAAAGATTGATATAAATATGGAGATCCAAGCTCTCCTGTAGTGAAGCCGTGAAAGATAAAAATCAAAGGCCGACTTTGTTTTCCCAAGCCTCACATATTTACCTGCATTAACACGGTACACTGCCACTACCTTCCGTGACTCACGTTAGTAGACAGAATTTGATATTTCCTTTTTTTAGTAATTTTTCACTGTCTAAAGGATTGACTGAATTTTCTTTACAGCCAGCCAGGCATCACTTTGCACATATCCTACTCTGATGACAAGTATTCCAGACTCCCTGGGCCATTTCTGGGGAGGTTACTGTGCTTTTTGGGAAAGATAATGAAATCAGCAGTTACACTGTGTGGATAGTCATGCTAAGAGTTGAGGTAGGAATACTCAGTGTCTGATTCGGGTAGATCAGTATTTCCGTTCCCATGAGAGCTTAGACAATCGTTTTTGAACTTTGATTGCTTACCCTCTAAACCATCAAACTTATTCAGGAAAAGAATTTTTTTCTGAAATAACAATTTACATTTCCAATGCTGTACAGTGAAAAAGAAATAACCAAATCATGAGCTAAATTTGAATAGAAAAGGATCCATTCATACCAACTGTAACAAGCCATATTGGACAGAATGGCATCTACTGACGTTTAAAGGTGTCGCTTGGCTATGTAAGCATTCGTGCTCTTACTAGGGCTCACAAATTATTACTGACTTGGATGCTTCAGTTTCCGACAGTTCTTTCTATGGATACTTTTAGCCAAAAGACTTTGGAAATGGGTTTGGCATGTTTGAAAGGAACAGAATTAATAAGTTCCATAATCAGTTTTACCTTTGACCACTCACACGTTTACTAGCTTTCAATTCACTTAATATTGTCTACATAACTCCTCCAGCATTTTTCTGATTGCTATAAAATCTACATTGGATTTTGTCTCCAATTTTTCCCCTTATAAGTTGATTTCTTTCATCATTGCCAAAACAATTTAAAAAAAAAAAAAAGTACAGATGTGATCATGTTATATAACAGCTCCAAAATCCTTTGGGGTGGTTTTGTTGCATATTCAATTAAGTTCAAGATGCTCAGAATAACATTTAGAATCATTCCAAAATCTTAGGCTGTCCAACTTTCCACCAGTGTTCTTTAATGTGCATGAATAACAATAGAAGCTACTTATATCAATCAAGTCATTGTTCCTCAAAGACATTCTTTCTCTTAAACATTGGTCTGTCCCAACTCTCTCCATCTGCCTTGTCTTTATAAGCTTAACCCCTCAAAAAGCATCTCTATATCCCTCACTCATAAAACTCTGTGCAAACCTCTGTTAGAGTTAGTGTTGGATACTTCTAGGTGGATGGGCATAATTTGTGTAAAGTGGTTTCCTTCCCAATGAGAAATTGAACTATTTTTTAGTAAAAACTATATTTCATTATTCTCTCCCCCCTAGTCTTTAATGCATTTCTGATTTTACAGGACACACTTCTTTTTTCCATTTTTAACTACTAATGTAAATCTTACCACCACCCCATAATTAGGATATATTTAGAGTTTACGTGTGTTCTTCCCTAATACTCACGTTCATTAAGCCTGTAAGACAAATAGAAGTATTGCCCATATTTAGACTGATCTTGGCTTTACCATGCTTCTTGATCTCAGTATTACAACAAAGTGTGGGTTGGAGGAACAACAAATAACATATGTTAGGAGAAGCATTCCAATTTTCCACTAAGAACTAAGCCATGTAAGAGAGACCATATAGATTTCACAAATAATTTAATGCAAACCTTACAAGGGTATAAGATTCCCAGACATGAAGACATGTGAGCCTCAAATATAGTCCAATTACTTCAGAAATATTTTCCAAAGAGAAAGGGGGAAAAAACACGCTGGCCTAGAAACTACATCAACTCGGTGGTCCCAGGACGTGCTTTGAGCCGAGACTCAGACAAAATAGACCCAACAGTAAACTCATTCCTAGTCAACCAGTGTTGTTAAAGCTTTAAAGATCAGGAAAACTGAAATGCATTTTGCATGGAAAACTTTTCCCAAGAGTTCCTCATTTTTATATAGGAAATCAATTTGCATCACTGATGATATCATTCAAGTCAGACAACCAAAGCTGTTAGGAGGTAATTGAGCTTTATGCTGCAGCAATTTGATACTTGTTCTGATTTGTGACTTTCATTTTGTTTGCTAATGAAAAAAATTAATGAGCAATGTTGCTAGAAATACAACTCCTCAAAGCGCCGGCATTATTAAAGAGGTTTGCCATATACCGTACAGTGGGAACCCTGGGCAGAGGTGTCAGGACCCTCTGCAAAGGAGAGACGTCAATCAAACTCCACCAGGAAGCTTAGAAAAAGGTGCTCTTACACATACCTTTGCACTGATTTGTGTTTTTGTCAAGAATTGCCTTTGTGGATACAATTTTTCCATATCTAAAAGAGAGAGAGAGAAATCCGTGTTATTATAGCTGCAATGGAGACACTTAAAACACCTTAATGAACCTCGGTGCACACACAATTGAGCAGTAATAACCCAAGAAAACAAGTTCTGAGCTCCCATTTCACACCTGGATGAGCTCTTCTCCCCAGCTCTTCTTGCTAACTCAGGAATGCACTTTCCTGTGTAAGCACCGGGCTGAGGCTTAAAAAATAAACCTGTCAGGCTGTCATAGGTGGTGAAAAGGGATTGCTCGTGATTGTGATCAAAGTAAATTGCACCCTGAGGATTCAAGGAAGAAAACCAGGACCTTAGTGTCAATCTGAAATGGGTTTGTGGTATTGCATTCATCCACAGATTACCTAATAACTTCTCCAAACAAAAATGATCGTACCTTTGACAATAAGAATAAAGGGGGAGTGTTGCCTACAGACCAGTAGATTACTAGTTAATTGAGGATATGGTTTGATTCTTTTTTTTCTATATCAGTATCTGCCATTAGGTTGTTTTTATTAACTACGTTGAATTCATTCCAACTCATGGTGACTTATTGGATCGGGCAGAATCACCCGATAGAATTCCTAGGCTGTAGCTGTAATCTTTATCGGACCAGATGGGAACTCTTTATTCCCTAGACCAGAATTTGAACCACCAGCCTTTTCAGATGGTAGTTGAGCACTTGACCGTGGCCTCATTTAGACTCCTTGGACTGACATCTGTTGTTGAGGTGTGTTCCTAAGTCAGAACCATCCCCTAGCTCACCCTCCACTGGGGTTTCAGAGGCAGTACTGAATCACAGTGGAGCAGACTGCCCACCTTTCTTCCACAGAGCAGCTGGTGGACCCAGACTGCATGTCTTTGGGATTTCAGTGCAGCTGCTGAACCATAGGTGGTCAGACCTGTAGCAACTTAATAAACTGACTCAATATATAAATGAATGATACACTTACATTTCCATTCTATCTATCTATCCATCCATCCATCTATCTATTTATTCATACAGATATATATATATAATTCATGCAGGAATACCATTTATGATGTCAGGGGACTCTTAGCTGAGAATACCATAAAGATGGTTGTATTTTCATGACTATGCAAAGGCATTGGACTATAAAGATCATATAAATTATTGATAGCATTGCAAAGCATGCAAACTCTAGAACACCGAACATTACTTATGCAGCCACTGTACACACACCTACAGGTAATCGTTTTGGGGGAAAGGTGTGTGGGGGCAGGTAGGGGATGATGCTTGGTTCAGAATCAGGAAACGTGTGTATATATGGGTTGTATCCTTTCACCGTACTTATTGAGCCAGTATGCCAAGGAAATAATATGAAAAGCCAGACTATATAAAGAAGAATGCACTATCAGAAGAGCCGAAAGACTCCTTAAAAAACTGCTGGGTACAGAGGAAACAATCTTGCTCGCTGAAAGTGACGATTTGAGGGATTTCTTGATAAGAAGTAAGAATTAAACCATAACGAAATATGCTTCAACACAAAGAAAATAAAAAATCCTCCTAACCGATCCAATCAGCAACATCATAATAAACAGTGAATAGTGAAGTTGTCAAAGATTTCACTTTACATAGATCTACTATCAATACCTTTGGGAAGCAACAGGAAGAAATCAAATGACATGTTACATTGGAAAAATCTTCTCCAAATTCAAACCCTCTTAATAATGCTAAAAAGTGTGGTATTTTAAATCACCAAATATGCATGTGAAAGTTGCAAAATGAATAAGAAAACTTGAAGAAGAGCTAATGCCATTGAGTGTAGAGACGACAGCAGAAGGTCCTGGATACAGTGGGAGTAAAACGGGAACACGAAACAATCATAAAAACAAAACAAAACCCAAGCTTGTTTTGTAGCTATTGTTTGTACACTCTAAAGTGAAGTCCTTATTCACCCTTTATACCTGGAAGTGAACACACCTTTGTGGGTCAACTTTCAGCCAAACGATGTTGTTGTTTGCTGTTGTTGTTGTTAAGTGCCATTGAGTCCTAGACGACTCATAGCAACCCCATGAACAAAAGACCTGAACACTCGTATAACTTTCATCATTTCTCCGCATTCATAGATTTTCCAGAGGCAAGCTAGTACGGAAGTGGATGCCACCCCTGCTTCCAAGCTTGTTTGAATCGAGGAGCTCCACCAAACACTGTCCACCATGGGGAACCATTCTCGCATTGAACACATCAGTGTCACAGTGTTCAGCATCACAGCAACCACGAGTTAACCTCCGTACAGCAAATGGACAAACCATGGCTATACTACTTAAAACAGGAAGACAAAAACCCCACGCTTGTTTTGTAGTTACTGATGGCACACTCTAAAGTGAAGTTCTTACTCACCCCTATACCTGGAACGGAACACACCTCTGTGGGTCAACTTGCAGCCAAACAGCAGACAGGCATCTAAGGTAAATTTACAGACATGCACCAGGGGAATGCTGACTAAAGAGGTTTAACAGCCTTAGAACCACCAAATCACAGGAGGTCAACTGCCAGCATTTGTCCAGCGATAAAACTCAGAAGGCAGCAAGAGATCGGAGAGAATGAGAGATAGGAACAATGAAGCGGGCAGAGTGGTGTTTCACTGTGCAGATAACAATCACTGCTGCCAATCAAACTATGCAGTAGTTATTGAATGGAAAAATCAATTAAGTGAATCAACTTTCAGCGAAACCATAG